TGACTCATCGGCCACCGGGACGATACCAACGTAATTCGGTTGCGACTGTTTGGCAAGGAAGATCTAAGCAAGAGCCTTCTGCTCGGACGGAGGAGGCGGAGGAAGCTGTTTTGAAGTGGGATTAGCCGCTGAATCTCACGAGACTCCTAATTTTGTCAACAAGGGCGACACTCACCTCGAGCTTCGTGTTGTCTGCCATCATTCGCTGGAAACCAATACCAACACCCTCAATGACTGCAAGGAAGACGGCGCACATGATGGCCGAGTTCCTTGCGGCCTTTAGCCCGCCGCGTACAGCCAGCGAACCACCAGTCAAGAAACCAGCGATAACTAGAGCAAATCGAGTCAGAAGAGTCAGGCTTTATGCAGACAGATACACTTACTGGCATTGTATGGGTCCTCCTTTTTCCTTAAGCCTTTCACCGCGCAGTCGTAGCAAGAAAACATGCCTCCCCAGACTCCAAAGTTACCGGCGAGCACGGGAGCTCGAGCCTTGATGGCCGTGATAGCACCTATCCGACGCTCACCATACGGAGAGTTCCTGAGTCCCTTCACGCCATGCCACTGATTATATAAGCATACTGAACAATTGATAGCTGAGCTGGAAACAGGAACGTACGACTGCGCCTCCAATAGCCTAGATTCGCGAAGCAACGGTCAGTGGCTGGTCCGAACAGCAGACAGGGAAATGTGTTCATTGAAACGTACACCCATGCAGAAAGCACCACCAAAGTCACTCAGCGCGACCCACGGGCAAGGATCTCTGGTATGATCCATTGTGTTTGTATTGTGTTTGTGTGTGAAGGAAGAGGTTATTGGAGGACTCGTCGACGGAAGGGTGCGTCCGAGGGAAAGCTGCGTCGAAGATGAAAGGCGCGTGCGCAGGAGTTGTAAACGGGATGTACAAAAGTCGATGATATGAATACAAGTGGATAAAGTGGACAGTCGATGGCAACAGTCCAGAAGGAGGTGCAAGTAGACGATAAGCTCCTTTGCGGGTTGCGGGTCGACAACTTTTTCACTCGGGGATGACCTCACGTGACAGTAACCGGACCCGGTCGCCACTGGCAGATCGGGAGCTCCAAGAATTTTGGGGAATTCTTGCAGAATGACGGGGGATCGTGCTTCCTTATCCTGGGGAGGCAAGAGAGACTCCCGGCCCAGCTAACATGACATCTTCGTGACCTGTAGCAGTGCCACCAGAAAACTTTGTTCTTTGATTTCGATCTATATTCGATTTCGGGCACCACGCATGTTGTGTGAACAAAGGGGTATCTCGTTATTTCTATTCGGTCGTCAGTTGCTGGACATTGGACAATTGTCCATTATTTACATTAAGGGCAGCTCTCATGATAGCAGGTTCCAGATGAAATCTAGTGCACCGCCTTCATACATTGGGAACTGGCCCCCGTCGCTTATGCCAAAAGGTGCCATTGAGGGATCGAACGGCAGTGACAGCCAGTTGTCCGGCACGTTGTTAAATGTCGGGATGTATGCCGATGTAAGTCCTACGACACTGGAATATTGATGGGCGTGGGACGGGCACCATTGTTTTCTGGCCAGGGAGGAGGGCCCATTGAGGACTGTCGCCCCGGACCTCGATTGTTTTTCACAGTCTTGGAAGATGCCAGCAGGTTGCGTCGCAGATGCGAGACATGCATGTCTAACAAGGTGGCGTAGCGAGTGCTGAGATGGACATCGTCCAGAGCGTGGTTTATTTCCTAATGTTTATGCTTAATTCGTGGTCATTCTAGTTAAAGACCGGCTACGATCCCTGTCCTAGCTGTTAGGTGGAGCTTAAGGAAGAACAGAATCTTACTTGGTCAGAGGTGACAAGACGGTTGCACAAAGATCCCGCGAAAGAAGCAAAGGGTCCATACAGGTGTACTAGAGCACGACTCTTAAGAAATAGCGGCAATCTCTACCGAAAGCGATGTAGAAAATGCCATCTGTTTGCTGGTGAAGCTCAGGTAGTGTGGCTTTTACCTCGTATAAGTAGCAATAGAAGGATGATGCAATCTTCACGAAAGATCCTGGGATGAGACAGTGTCCCCAGGCGTTCTGTAGCATCGTACATCAGCCATGTATGATTGATCAGTTTCTCTTCATTCTCGCTCCGCCCTTCGAGTGCCCGGCTTAGAATTCGTAAGAACCTTGTCCTGCACATGCAATGGTAATTGCAGACGGCCATCAACTCAAGGCGCATCTTTTTAATCGTTTGTGGTAGTCCCATCGAGGTGAGCGCAAGGCAACAAATACGTGTTAACTCAGCCCGCATTTTATCGCCAAGCGATTCCCAAGACAACCGCGTACGAGCAATCCACGGCCTGGCTACTCTAGCGCACCCGTGGGAGTTCTCAAAGCTTGACCGTACTTATCATATGAGCCAACCATTGCCATTCGCCCAAGCCATGCAAGTAGAAAAAGAGTATTGTGACATCAGATACATTACGCTTCCACAGAACCACCCGCGAGATAAAACCGACTAGCTAACAACAATGGAGGTGGGAGTGGACGTGGAAGGTTTCAATGAAATCAGAGAATAGTAGAGGAACAAGTGCTCACGCCGGAGCAAGAAAAGCGGTAGGAGGAAGTGCGTTGGTTGCCTGTTTGTTGTATTATGTCGTTAGTTATCGTTCCGTGGCAAATCAAGGGACAATCCTTGGAATTAGCTTACCTTGAGCTGTTCGAAGTTTTTCCAAGCAAGCTCGACGTTCCAGCCATTTCCTGCGAGGGCCATCTCTGAGTATTCCAAGGTCATGCCCGACTTGCTACTCATCTGAGTGACCATCTGCTCCTGCTGAAGCTGGGTGTCGGACTTTCCAGGTCGGGGCAAACCGTATCCTTCAGCAACATTGCCACTTGGGGCAGCTGCGGGCACTGCGGGGATTGCGGAGACTGCGGAGGGTGCAGGAGCCGCTGTGGGAACAGGACCGGGAGGTGCAACCTGCGGGACTTGGGAAAGTGCCTGGATCTCAGGAGACCATGCCTCGTGTCCACCGTAAGCGCGCAGGCAGAAAATCTCACTCACAACTCGGATGCCACCGGGGGTGTTACCTGGGCCAAGAATAAAGGTTCGATCGAAGCTGCGGGTTTCAATCTTGCCACCAATACTCTCCTCAAGTTGTCCATGCACCATGAGGGAGAGACCACCAACGCCAGTGGGGCTCTGTCCAGTAGGGTCGGGGAGATGAGGGACAGGGTGGCATTCAATGAGCCATTGCTCTGCCTTTGCAATAAGGTCGGGGTGGCGAGTGGGCGGGAGCGCATTGAAAACTTCACGGATTTTCTCAACGCCTTTGAAGGATCGTGACATTCGTGCGGAAAGGTGACTGATCTTGTCGAGATTTCGGCTTTTTCTGATGTGTTCACCCCAACCTGCCGTCTCAGTTTGACCGGCGCGGGGAGCCGCGGTGTTTACATTCAGCGAGAAAGTGGACTGATCATCGTAGACACTGCTGACGAGGCCGTTGCGATCGTTGTCATAGCCAGAGAAGAAAGCACGAACGAAGTTTTCGCCGACTTGAGATTCGTCAATGAAGTGAGGGGGCAAGACGGGGATCGGTGTCTTCTTCTGAGCCGCGACCTCTTCGGGAGTTCGCACTTGGACGTTATTCAAAGTTTGCAGCTTTGGATACCACTTGAGCATGGTGTCCTTGAAAGTCGGGTCAGAGCTGATCTCGTTTTCGGTCAAGTCAAGGAAGATAAGGTCGCGGAATTTCCACCGCCATCCAATCATCGCCTGCGAATTTTTGATATTGTTCTTTGAGAGGTCCAGATATTTGATATCGGGGAAAGATTGTGCGAGGGTCGTCACGGAGCTGATGTTGCCGAGCCTGTTCTCGGCCAGACTGACACTTTCGACCGCGTCACGTCGCTCAGCTACAGTCTTGAAGCCCAGTTCCCAGACCTTCATGAGAGCAGGGAAGAACTTGGACTTGGTAGAGACATTGGAAAAGATTCCCATGGCTTGAAGATCGGGGTCGTCCGACAGCTTCGACAAGTCAAGTAGCTTGGTAGCAGGGAAGAAGCGCTTGCCGAGGATGGTTGTCATCTTAGTCTTGGTATCGGCGGTCGAGCCAGGAACGGGGTCCGCTGCGGCCAGTTCCTGATCGAGTGCATTGGCAGCAGTGTATGCTTCAACAGTAACATGAGCTCCGGCGAAGACATTATTGTTGATGCGAAGCATGTGACCCGCCAGATCAGGTCGAACGAATGCCACAAGTGTGTCACCTTCAGTGCGTGACTAATTGGAAAGTTAGAATGGTGTGAAGGGAGCTTGAAAACCACGGTCACCCAAAGGGAAAGAAACCAAAAAGCCCAAATGTGTCGATCGTCGTTTTGTATGAGGACCGTCCTCGAAAACGAGAGGACACCGAAGCGAGGGATGTCGAGGATCGATGTTGGTGACCGCCACTGTGAACGAGGAACATACCTTTGTAATCTTTGCGCGGGGTCCGGATTTAATGAATGAGTTCATGCGTCGTTCAAGGAATGCAATGAGGCTCTCTTGGCCGCCATCACGGTTGCTTGCTGCCTTGCTTGATTTCCATCCTCGGACACTAAACTGTTCCAGATCGCCGCCAGTTTTCTTCTTGTTATCTCGAACGTTTGCTTGGCTGTCGGCGCTGTAAATGGCTCTCTGGATCAGATCCGAATCGATAGGCTTGTTGCGAGCCTGGGCCCGGTTGCTAGTTCCTGCAGGCCGGCCACCCGCGCCTGTGCCAGCGGCGCGGCCACCCAAGGCAGACTTATCGGCACGGTTTCTCTTTGCACGAGCACCGCCCCCATCCATGTCCATGTCACCATCCCGGTCGGTGCGAGTAGGGCCCCGCTTACGGATTCCCCCGCGATCATTGCCGCCGCGGCGAGACTTCATGCTCTTCATGGTGGTTGGAGGAGAGATCTGAGAGATGGGAGGGGTATCGGAGGTTGTTGTAAATGGAGGTAAGTTGAAAGGAAGCTGAAACTGCTAAGTGGAAGCGAGCAGCGCGCTATGCGCCTCAGATCAGGTAGAAAGAAGTTGTTCGCATGTGAGGAAATCGCAGTGGAAATGTCACTCGGGAGGTAAAGAAAGAGCAAACTGAAATGACTGGAGAAAAGGGTGAGCTGCAGATTATGTAGTGCAGCTGCAAGACAATAAGAAAGTGACAGTGAATGACAAAGAACAATAGGGCCTTGAATAAGTGAAGTGAGTCCAAAGAAAAAGTGACGATTGGCACGTGATGAGGCGGCATTATCTGCTACTAGTCCCGATTAGGTGATGACTCATCTCTTTGTTCCTCGTGGGCCAATCACATGCTGTCGTCTGTCCTCACGGGCACTCCTCATACATCGGCCTGCAGGTATGTCTGGCCAAGGAGGCTTCAAATTGGCCTGCTCTTGTCTCTATTGTCAGGTGCCTGGAAGACTCAGTCGCATTGAGTTTCAATTGACTCACTCGGACTCTATCGTCGGTATGTCTGCCTTGCCTGTTTTCTTTGCTATGTTGTGTTTGTTTGGTCTGTTCACTTGAATGGGTCTCATCCAATAGAGCTTGCGTGTCCAACGACCACCTAACTAACATATTCGTGTTTTCGCTGCCTTACAGGCATTTAATATTCTGCCGCTGTCCACAAACCCTCGCCTGGCATTTGCGCTTCACTCTATGGTCATCAATTGACCGGCGAGATGCCCGCAAAGTCGCGATTCACGAGGCTAGATGCCTTCGCCAAGACCGTTGAAGATGCCCGCATTCGCACGAACTCTGGAGGTGTCATTACAATTGCTTCGCTATTAATTGTTATGTGGCTGGTATGGGGTGAATGGGCCGACTACCGACGAGTTGTGGTGCAGCCGGAGCTTGTCGTTGATAAATCGCGAGGTATGAGTATAGTTTGGGCTCGATCAGACCCATGATGGACCTGCACGAGATGGAATGCATAAGGCAAGATCGCTAATGACTCCTCTTTGTCGTGCAGGAGAGCGAATGGAGATTCACTTGAACATGACCTTCCCTCGGCTGCCATGTGAGCTCTTGACATTGGATGTGATGGATGTCTCTGGTGAACAGCAGGTCGGCGTTGCCCATGGCGTGAACAAAGTCCGCCTGAGCCCACACAATGAAGGCGGTAAGGTGATTGATGTCCAGGCTTTGGACCTGTAAGTGCTACCCGAAATCATCTACTCCGTGATCGCAACCTCATTATCTTCCCTCCCCAGACACTCCCCTTCAGAAGCTGCGAAGCATCTGGCTCCCGACTACTGCGGTGAATGCGGTGGAGCAACACCTCCTGCCAATGTTATCAAACCGGGATGCTGTACTACTTGTGAGGAAGTGCGCGAAGCCTATGCCGAGAAGCAATGGGCCTTCGGCGACGGCAGCAATATTGAGCAATGCAAGCGCGAAGGATATGCCGAGAAACTTGCTGAGCAGCGCCGCGAGGGATGCCGCATCGAGGGTGTGCTGAAGGTCAACAAGGTGGTAGGCAACTTCCACATTGCACCAGGCCGCAGCTTCACCACCGGCAACATGCACGTCCATGATCTGGACGCCTATATCGTGCCTAACGCGGGCCCGGCGGACCAGCACACGATGTCCCACTTGGTCCACGAGCTTCGCTTCGGGCCCCAGCTTCCCACCGAACTCGCAGGCCGCTGGGGTTGGACCGACCACCACCACACCAACCCGCTCGACGATACCAAGCAGGAGACCGACGAACCAGCCTACAACTTCATGTACTTTGTCAAGGTTGTCTCAACATCCTACTTGCCTCTAGGCTGGGATCCTCAGTTCTCGACCTCCATCCACAACGCCTACGACAAGGCGCCTCTTGGCTCCCACGGCCTCGCCTACGGTGCTCAGGGTAGTATCGAGGCTCACCAGTACTCGGTCACCTCTCACAAGCGTCCTCTTTCCGGTGGAAACGATGCTGCGGAGGGCCACAAAGAGCGCGTGCATGCCGGTGGCGGTATTCCGGGTGTCTTCTTCAACTACGATATCTCCCCTATGAAGGTTGTCAACCGTGAAGCTCGCCCGAAGTCTTTCACCAACTTCCTTACTGGTGTCTGTGCTATCATTGGTGGTACTCTGACTGTTGCTGCTGCTTTGGATCGCGGTCTCTATGAAGGCGCTATGCGCGTCAAGAAGCTGCACTCGAGCTAGATGTCAACATCTAGTCAGATATAAGATAGGATTTCTTATTTACTGAACATCTCTTTGCATGGGATGGTCTATTCTAGCATGAGATGGATACTTTTGAAGGTGGAGAGGTGAGTTGGAGCATCATGGAAGCAAGGGAAGCTGGCACTTGGGGCGTTCTTGAGATACCTTTATAAATGTTTTGTCATCGCGCTGTTTTGGGCTAAGATGTAACTATTCATCTATCGATAACATCGAATCTTTGTTGATTGAATAGAAAGAAGAAAGAAAAAACCCATTTTATACCTGATTGTATTTTGCGATATGCTAGTTAACCACTGGGCTCTCAAACACTCTGCGGTTCAGGAACAAAGCTGCGTAGTTCCCGGAGCGATTATACGAACAATCAAGCTGGCTGGAAGTTAACTTGTCTTCTCGCTACTTAAATAGCCTCAGGTTATCTCTTCTAGCGAACTAACTGGATGAATTCCTCTGAACTACAACAACTATTTCGTCGCTTCACGGCATCCACGTGCTATGCGCGCCGCGCGTCACCAATTTGTAGATATGGCAGCCTATTAAGCTGCGACTGCACTAAGCAGTAGGAAGGCTGCTAACGGGACTACATATAGCTACATCCCTTCTTACTTATGACGCATTCACTGGCTTTCCGACACCATCATCTCGTTGAAGGCGCTACAGGGCAGTTGTATGGTGTCTCTCGCCAGTGTTGATATAGTTGGTTTGACTGTAATTATTTACATTGATGTAAGATTAAAACAGAAAACAAGACATATAGAACAACCTCCGACTGAATTATGCTACGCCAAGTCTGCAAAGATAGCCACTTTCCGTAAAACCTGTTGCAAAGCCGTATCGACCCATCTGCTCTGTCAGACTGCCATCGTGCATTTCCATCTTCGATATAGAGAATGATTACCACACATGTACCTCAATTCACAGTTCAAGTCGGCTAGGGGCCATATTGGGACTACCTTCCTATAACCTCTTACGTGAACAGGACGGGTTGGATCTCGCCATTATCGTTCAAGGGAAGATCAGCAGGTCTTGGGGAATGCAAAGAAATCTTCTCTAACCAAAATTCTGTATTCAAATGGAGGAGATGGCCCCGAGACTATACGAACCCCACAACCGAAGAAATTCGAGATATTTTAGTCAGGATGGGATTGTGGGGTACCTAGCTAGGTGGGCGACCCGGCTAACTCGTAGAGATTCTCTAGCCTCTCTAAAATAACTAGTTAGAAGGACCTCAGGCCCCGGGGAGAGACCTGTATTACGCAAATTTGCCCTCAGCGTAGCAAAACTGGGACTAAAGATATAGCTATTTGAGTCGTCGACGACAAACTCGGGGCTTGTCCCCTAACGGTGAGATAGGAAGAGAAACAGGAAAAGGAAAGCCCCTACCCTAGACAACCTCCCATCCTTCTGCGACAAGGTCGTCGAGTGCGGCGCACTCTGCCCACTCGCCAGCCGCTAGATGAAAGAAGCCCCCAACCAGTCCACTCTCCTCCTCGACAAGAGGTGCTCCGCACATTCCATCAAGTACCTGCGGATTGGTCGCACCAAAAACACCGCACACTGTGTTCTTTCGCCAACGGTGCACAGGGACTTCAGGGTGACCAGGAGGCCCGACAGGCTTCTCCATCGAGTTCCCGATGTACATGAGAGACAACATGCCTGTGCTCATTCCGTCTACCTCGAACCAGGTACCTGGGGCCAGATCTGTCGTTTCAGCTAGGCGCCGGGGAGCTTGGGCTTGAAAGTAAGTTTGGTTCGTGTATCGGCAGAAATTGGCAGCCGTGACTTGCACCATGGCAATGTCCAACTCCGGATATCTTTCAACAATGTCGCCTATTTTATCCCCATAGGGCGCAGGATGACAAACCTGCTGCGAGCCAAGAAAACCGCGATTTGCACTGTGATATAGCAACTACTCCCCTTCCTCAGAAGGACACCTGTCGTGGTTGAAAAGTTAGCGTCAGCACAGACATCAGAATCTGCTGAATATCCAGTAGAAACCCTCATTCCGGGTGTGAGAATGCCCCAGTTGGGCTCACGGGTATAGTCAGTTGCATCTTGAGGTAGTGGTCCAATCGTAGGTCCGGGAAGATACTGTGCAGGATCCAGTACACGTTCACGTGTATGGTTTCGCATTGAGCTAAAAAAGGACTCGGCGTCGTGGTGATAAGTAGTACGTCTATTCGCCACAATCCCAGGCAACGATTTGTGTGAGTAGGCCTCGCCATCTCCATGCTCGAGCTCGACAACAATCGCAGCCGGGAGGAAGTTGATGCGCCTGACATTTGCCAACTCGGAAACGGCGCTCACCACTGCACACATTTGAGATTTCGTCGGACTCTCTGTTCTTCTCCAACTGACTTCGGCACATGGATCGGGAATGCGGCGGCTTCCGTAGGGAGCCAACCCATATAGGGTCAGATGTCCACTACCTGGAGGAACGAAACGCGTTGGCATGCATGCCACCGTTAGCGGGATAGGTTTGGGCGGGTTAGTGGTCTCGACGATTAATATCCACTCGTAGAAAATGACTCGTTCCGCTTGGTATTTCTCTATTATACAAGACATCTCACTTCTTGACGCAGGCCGAAACTTCTCTGTATGGTCGTCCCAAAGGGAGAAAGGAACATCGTCGCTGGTGTGTCGTGTTCCAAAGCCCCTTGGTCCTTGCCAGCGTCTTAGAGGGGGCGACTGAAGATGGGCATTGGGAGTCGGAAGCAACTCAGAGGACTCAGATTGTTCCGTAAGTAGAATGGGGTCCGGTGCAGTACAGGGGTAGACATTAGCGTATGCAGGGGCACTCTGCAGCTCTTGAACACCAGACTGCCTTGTAATCTTTCCGCGAAACATACTGCTTACTATGAATTGGTTGAACAAATTGCAGAAAGGGTGGAGGAAAAGCAAACTGACAGAAATCTGGCGGTATGACAATCTATGGTACAGGCGCAAATCGGCAGCGGCCGCTACCTAGTTAGGCCGGGGTAGTTTGGACATTACGTAAGACAAAGCCTATCCCGAGGTCCCGAGGTCAGGTCCACGGGCGGTTCAAGCCGCGCCACCACATCTGCTCCCGGTTGTTTACACCGATTATCATAGTCTAGACGTGGGGATTTTAGTTCGTTCGGGGCCCAGATGTCTTCTCCGTTCTTGCGGCGCCATTTCGCTTCGTGGTCGATGAGGATCGTGGCCCGTGTTTCCGGTACGATGAAGAAGTGGAGCATCTGCGTTACCGCTCCGACAATCAATTGGATCAGGGGCCAGAGGAAATTGGAACTACCTTCCTACAACCTCTTACGTGAACAGGACGGGTTGGATCTCACTATTATCATTCAAGGGAAGATCGGCAGGTCTTGGGGAATGCAAAAAGGTCTTCTCTAGCCAAAATTCTGTAGTCAATGGCCCCGAGACTATATGAACCTCACGACCGAAGAAATTCAAGATATTTCAGTCTGAATGAGATCGTGGGGTAGGCGGACGGTAAACATGAGCCTGTGCAAGCTGATAGGATGGGAAGTACACACAAATCTGCACACGATACTACCGTATTAACTCGGTAAATCCAGGTATAAATACCAATACGCATGGTCTGCAGGTTTGTCCTCTCTAGGGATGGAGTGCATTCAGTAGAATACTGAGTGGGGCGGGATCTCGTCCTCCACTTTATACTTTAGTATATCGCGATCTCACGCTAGCATCGGGCTTGTATCCATCAAGATTCTTCTTTTGCACTGCCAAGTCCATTCCGCCCCCACTTTCGCAAGGTAGCCATTCTAACAATAACAGTTATAACAAGCAAAGGCTAAACCTTGGAACATCCTACAGCAACCGCAAATATAACAACTACCCCACAACCGAAGCCGTCGCCCGACTAGCCCTCCTACTCCCAGTATGCCTATCCCGATCAGCAGCAAGCTGCTGCGCAAATTTACTCTTAGCCCTAATCTCCGGACCCTTCCAGTAGAACACATAAATCGGAATCATGACCAAGAACCCCACACAGCCGAGCAGCGTACTCGCCCACTGGAGATGATACCTGCTCCCCATATTCTCGTACATGGGCGTGGAGTACATGGTCGCAATACCAGCGAGGAAGTCTCTCGCGAACCCATTACCCCCCGTTGCAGACGCAGAATACGGCCCGTACGCGGCAACCATGTAGTCTATCGTCGCCATGTAGATTGCGTAGTTTGCCATTGCGATTAGACAGGCGAAGATGCACGGCGCAATCCACGGGATTGGTGGGCCCATTGAGGTCCAGGCGAAGCCGAGGAGGCCGATGGGCTCCAGGGGGGCGATAAAGAGGAGGAGGAGGAGACGGCGCTCGGCGAGACGGCTTGCTGCGCCGCTTTGCCGTCGTATTTTGATTTGTCGATAAATGTCCGGGAGGAAGATTGTGTACGCTATTACGTAGCCGATTAGGATTGAGCCGAAGGTTAGACCGATGGCTAGCACGCTGAAGGACCATTGTCCGAAGACTAGTGTGAAGGACTCGGTGAAGACGAAGATCAGGGCGTCGGAGAAACCAGACAGTAGTGAGAGGAAGAGGACGATTGGTTCACGGATGAACATCTCGAATGGCCGGATCCAGATTCGTAGGACGTCGTGGTAGTCCAGACGTGGGGATTTTAGTTCGTTCGGGCCCCAGATATCTTCTCCGTTCTTGCGGCGCCGTTTCGCCTCGAGGTCGATGAGGATCGTGGCCCGTGTTTCCGGTACGATGAAGAAGTGGAGCATCTGCGTTACCGCTCCGACGATCAATTGGATCCAGAATACCCACTGCCATGTGAGCCATTCGCCGATCATACCGCCGAAAAAGGGACCGATGGTTGACCCGCCTACGGACGAGAGAACAACAAAGGCTACCGCGTAGCCTTGGTCGTCGGCTTCCCACATATCCGCTGTCATACCGAGGGTGACTGAGCCTCCGGCGGAACTGAGACCGCCCAGAACACGGCATACGACGATTGTGCCGTAGTTGGGTGCGA